CACCCACCCACACCCACACCCTTAAGTGAGTAATTATTTATTTTATTAATTACGTCGAACTTCTCGTGCATGTTCATGAGCCCTGTAAGGGGTTCGTGAATGATGAGTATTTATACGTCTAATAGTCTAATGATATATTTGGCATATCAGTTACTCTAACAGTTCTATTTGTTTGTTTTTTATGAATAAAACTCTGAAGCGAAAAATCCGACATTATTTATTAGCCAATCTAATAGGTTTGAAAAATCTCATAAAAATAATGCAGTAGTATGATCATTTGTTTTGATACCGATATTGTAGAGAAGTTTTATGTAGACATAACATTTTAATTAGGGAAATGTTGCAACTCGTCACGTTTTTTTTTTGCTTTCGTAAAGACTGGAGAGTATGAAATTTCTGATTTAGTCAATTACAGAAGTTTTGTAATAACGACAAGAATCAGGACTATCGTAATGGATTTTACAGGGTAATTGTAACTGGTGTTTTGATATGTACCATTACGAAGCTTTCATAACGGAAAGCATGTAATTTCTGCAAACTAAGCCCAACTATTACCCACACCCTCATTACGAAACTCCCGTTGCTTCATTACGAAAACTATGTAACTAGTTACGAAACTCCTGTATTAGCGATTACGATCGCCCTGTAAAGTTTGTTACGACATTCCTGTTTTTCGCATATCCCTATTTTCTATGGTGCAAAACAGAGATGTCCACAGGGCGCTTTTTTCCGCCCTGCTCTGCGAAAAAAACGATGCACAAAATAAATTGCGCCCTGCTCTGCCCTACAGGCAGGGCATAGATAAAACTTCAATTGTCTCCAAGATGCCAAAAATTTCCTTGCAAAAGATTTGGATTAAAAATTGGATTAAAAATCAATAATAATGGCACCATTGTAATCTGATTTTAATCAGATATTTCAGCTTTAACATACATTTTTTTTAAATTTTGATTTCATTTTAATCTTTTTTAGTCGATTATTATTATTATGGTTGTAGTATTCAATTAAAATAGCTTAAAATGAAATCAACGTAAAAAGGAATAGTCTTTTAAAGCTGAAAAATCTAGTTAAAATCAGATTATAATAGTGCCATTATAATCGATTTTTAATGTGATTTTTATTCGAATATTTTTACATGGATTTTTCTGATTTATTATTTACAATACAAAAATTGCTTTTTGTCTGTTGATAGAAGGTGTTGTAATTGAAGAGATGTATGCAATGAATTAGTTGTAGTAGCAGAGATGCTTGAGCAAGAAGAAATAGGAACAATATTCTCATTAATAGGAGTAGAACGAATATCAACAAGTAAATCATCAGTCGTCAAACTCATAGTTCTGCTTGTGCTTTGCGCAGTTAATCACAAACAAATGACCGACAAGTACAAATATATATCCATTAGATATGCACCAAATCCAAGTTCAGTCAAGTTCAAGTCTAACTCTGGATTTGAATTTGACTAGATTTGACTGGACTTAAACTTAATATATTTCCACAAAAATTTTAATTTTTCATTGTCAAGACTACTCAAATCCAATTCAATCCAAATACAGTTAAAACTAGGAATTGGATTTGACAGGAATCAGATTTGATGCATCGACAATATCCATCGTTGTGATTCTTTTGTTTCTCCAATCATTTCTACTCTCCCTCGGACAAAAAAAGTTCCTTTTTCCGATTCATTTTTTTCATTACCTAATACGCTGTATTAAAAAACAAAATACACCACAAGATGCAGCATGAAAAGCTCTACAATCTACAAATGACAGCTTATTTTATAATTGTACTTTTTGTTTTCAAAATGAACAAAACTCTGAGCCACTAATTTTTGACAGTTGGAAAAAAATAATTGTTTGGTACACGTCGAATTCGGTTTTTTTTCATTATTCATCTTTTTATCACTTGATATGCTTTACTAAAAAGAAAACAAAATATACCATAAGATGCATCGTGAAAAGCTCTACAATTTACAAAGAACAGCTTATTCCATAGTTGCAATTTTTTTCTCAAAATGGACAAAACTCTATGCGACTAATTTTTGGCGCTGCGAACAAGATCCTTTTTTGGTACACAATCAATTTCTTTTCTTATTATTTTGGTTAATGAGTTGTATCAAAAGTCATAATCGATGGCTGAACAAAGGGATAAAGTTAAAAACAATGATTCATTAATTAATAACATAAGAAAAGGAATTCATCGTGTACCAAAAAACTATTTTTTTTCGAAGTGTCAAAACCTAGTGGCTCAGAATTTTGTCCATTTTGAAAACAAAAAGTGCAATTATAAAATAAGATGTCCTTTGTAGATTGTAGAGCTTTTCATGCTGCATCTTGTGGAGTATATTGTTTTTTTAATACAGCATATTAGATGATGAAAAAATGAATCGGAAAAAGAAACTTTTTTGTTGTCCGAGGGAGTCCTATTCTCATTGTAATGTATTGTTACCGTGCCATCACGATTAGTCTGTTACGAGCTGATAACGAAATCTTTCCTGTTCTTCGATTATGCCACATTTTTTAGATAAATAAAAAAGCTTTTTATAAAACAAAACTTTTGATTCCAATGAGCAGGGCGCAAAGGTCTCGCCCTGCTCTGCCCTACTATTTTACAGGGCAGGGCATTTTTAGAAATTTTGTCCTGCCCTGTCTCAGGGCAGAGCAGAGCAGGGCGGTCCTGCCCTGTGGACATCTCTGGTGCGTAATCCCTATTTTTTCTGTAAAAAAAACTCGTCACGTGACGAATTGTAACGTTCTCACTATCAATGCTTTCTTCACGAAAATATAGTGCATTGATGATTTCATTATCTGTACACTGAGAAAAAAATGCTACCATACGGAACCAAACAAAGGTTTCGTATACGATATGAAACTTAAAAAAGTTTCGAAAATTGCAACAAATTCGAAATTTTTTTTTAAGATTTCGTAGGCTTTCTATGAAACCTTCAAAAAAAAGGTTCTTAGATCCTTGACAAGTCTTTTGAAGGTGTTGTGAACCCGTACGAAATCTTTACAAGGTTTCGATTTCGTTGCAAAAAAAGAGAATTTCGTATGGTACCATTTTTTTCAGAATAATAGTAATAGTTAGCATTGGCTGTCCTTTCACAGCTGTAGTATAGTATATGAGAGGTGGAAGACATCAACGTCTACTTACTCCAGCGTTTTCGATTCTATTTCGAAAAAAAAAACTAAGCGTGAAATTTTTGTTTGCGTACGTAATGGTTTAGCGGATGAAACTGCTTGCTAAGATTCGAGTAACGTTTTATAACTTTTAAATCTTGAAATACTAAGCTTGAATTGGACGAATACATTTTCACTTTTTTATTTTTAAGACGATCGTGATGCGAAAAGCTTGACTTGTGATGCATGCATTCAGGAAGAAATCTATTAAATCTCATAGTAGTAACTAATAATACAATATTATACAAAATTTAATGTAAATTCTCCAATAAATTAGTCATCTTCATAAGAAGTCTGCAAAAAACAATGAATGAGTCGTGACAATAAATGTGATACTGCGCTGCAACATATTGATATATTACCAATAGCTTTTATTTTGTATCACTGTTGAGGGAACTAGTTATATGTGAAGAAGCATGCTTTTCCTTTCTTGACAAAATGTAAGCCATTTTAAAAAAATGTTCATTTTTTAACAAATAAAGGAAATATAAGACAAATAGTCCAAAAATAGGACATTATAGGACCATTTTCAAATATATAGAAATTATAGGAAATATAGGACGACTACGAAGCCTGATTTCTGGTTATCGGATAACATGTCATGAATGCCAAGCAGTTTTTCAACATCTCAATTGTCCACATAGTCAAGCATCTAATATCTGGAGTGACGGACACTATAAGCAACGTCCACATATCCTTTGCAGCAAGTGTCACAATCACTATCAACACGTAATAACATGTCCTCACTGCCAACAAGCAAACTACTTTACTAAAGAAGATCTAGAACCTGATGAATGTGTGATGTATTGCCATTGCAAACAGACATTTTGAGTAAAGTGAGTGTAATAGATATTATTTTTAGTACGAGACACAATGTCAATGATAAAGAATTGACCAAAAAGAAATTAGTAATTGTTTCAGTGTCTCTTTATTTTGATTATGAAACTAAGCGTTAGGCATATGAACGATAGCAACTGCAAATGGACTCAAAGTAATTCGACTTAACATGAGTTTTGTTTCTATGGGTGGTCCAAAACCAGATGCTTCGTTGACGATCTGCATTGTACCACCAGTAGCACCAGGTAAGAATACATCGACACTGGCAAAACGTTTATTAATAATCAACACCCATCGTCGATGATTTTTACCAATAAATGCTTGACTAAACACATGTTCGTCATCGATATCGGATGTATGAGTGACCACTGCTTGATCATTGTCAATATTGGCAGTATCAATCAATAATTTCGACGTCCAGTATTTGGCTGTCCCTTCACCGGTTGTCCAGTTAAGCATAGCTACACTCGGAAATTGTGGTTGCAGTTGAAGGTCCAGCAGATTTGGATAACCTGAAGAAAAAGATTCTCTGTATTGCCCAGTGAATCTAAGAAGAAGACTTACCAACTAATTGACTGTGTCCAACCACATCAATTCCTTGTCGAGCAATTTTTGCCCAAGCATAAGCATAGTAGGCAGCACCAGCATTCCAATAGATCAATGGAAATGCAGGTGCATCGACATTATTATCATCGGGCAAAATAATACCCAATTCATCAATGGTTGTTTTGGTTCCAGGTGAAAGTGCTTTTCGAATCTCTTCAATTTGTTCCACTTCAAATGTGAATGTATCCAGTTGAAGAAAGAATGCTTCGTAATCAACGGGATTGGTTCTTGTTGCACTCGATGCATAAAAGTGATAGGATATCATATCAAGTGGAATGTCAGGTGCATGATTGGAATGATTGAGAAAATAACGATATCGTTCGAACTCATTGTGACCTAGATGTGAGGAAAGATTTCAAGAAGAAAAACAGTCGAAAAACCTACCGCCAAGTGCCATGCCAACATATTTCATCTGAGTATTGTTGGTATGTCGTCGAATACCTTGAACAACTGCATCGTAAGCTCGAGTATAATATTCCGGACTCATATTATGTTCGAATTCGATTTCATTGAAAATTTCTGTATAGTCCCACTTATATGAGTAGTTCGAGACATGTTTCTGGCCATATTCATCAATAAAACCACCTCGTGTATACCAGGCGATCAGTCGACCATAGTAATCGCCTAAAGCTTGCATCGTGTCATCAATCAGTTGAGATCCTTGAGGATAGCTCCAATCGACTTGTGTGACATTGTCTGGATAAAGATGAGACGTATTAAGTTGAAAGAGCCAGACTGGTTGAGTGGAAAACATCATAATTCGTGAATGACCATCGGTAGCATCGAGAAAATCTTTCACGGTCGGATCCAGATAGGTAAAATCCCAATAGGTATTATTTTGTGGTGGATTACATTGAATTTGCACGAGTAATCTCTTATTTGTGCCAACACCTAGAAAATTCGACGAACCATCCATCTCTTACAAGAGCTAATAAGAAAAAAGAAACTTACAAGGATCACCGAAGAGATCATTTGTTGCCGATACACTGCATTCTGCATGACCGAAGCAAGCTTGTCGAACAATATTTAAACTATTGGCTGCATGGCATGTTCCCTGTTTCATTTGACCACATGGACCATTAGCTGTTCCATAGGAAGCAAAGTCCACACTATTGATCACACCACCACCTTGCTGGCATGATAATTTCACCGAAAAATTCTGAGCCACATTACCACATTGAAATAAACCTGAAGGTGGATCGAGCTCAGCAACAGCCATTTTCGGATAAGGATACCATGCTGCATATCGAACATATTCAGCGTTCAACTGAGCCAAATTATCGAAGACTTGTTTATGAATAGGTGAGAATTCAGCGGTGACAAGTGGATTTGTCACAATTTGCAAACTGGGTATCGTATGTAAAAGGAAGCCATACTGTGACCAATTCACTTCGATCAGAATTGGATCATCGTTCTTCTTTCGTCCTTTATGATAATGAGGGGCACCATCGATTCCAGTACTACCAAGTGCGATTAGACAAATAAATTGTAGTAACCAGACCATCTCAACACGATGCATGACTGTCGATAAGACAAGCAACATCTTCATTTGCTTTTATAATATGTTTAAAGTAGACACTCGAGAAATGGTTATCTACCTTTACCCTTTTATCTATTTTATCTCTAGAAACATTCTTTGGTAAAAAAAAAAAAGATAGATTTACGTGGCGACTGCACCCTCATTTTTCAAACCGCATTCTACTTCAATAGTTTTGAGTGAGACAAAATTTTCTATTGATTGATATTGAAAATTTTTCTTCAAATTTTCTCGTACCCATACGTGTTAATAACTGAGTTTATTCTGGAATATTGATCCAAAGAAAATCTCATTTATTTGTCGAAAAAGTCTACACAATGCATGGTATAAGCTCATGTGAGATGAATGCTCGACATTCTTCAGTCTTTCTTTGAAACAGTTCATTTTTTCATAACTGAATTTATGCATAAGTTTCGAATTGTGATTCGAGTTGTCCTATTGGCTATCGGACGCTGTTCAACAATAGTATGATCCATTATTTTTCGACGACCCATGATTAGATAGCGTAAGTTGAGCTAATAATTTCCTTTGCTTGATCATTGAATAATATGTAAGTAAGCATGCCTATCCTAAAGGTAGCTATGATACTGAGAAAACTAAGATGATTTGTGTAAGATGGAACTTTCCAAGAGGTGCCAGTAAGCACGATTCCAAGAAATAGTGAGAGATAAATGGGTCCAACAGCGAATAAGAGGATAACGGACAGAGAGAGAGAGAGACAAGCTAAAACACGTCGCTCCTTACGAATGCGTCTATTCGTATCGATTTCAACACGAATTGCTTGATTTTCACAGGAAACATGTCGAAGAATCCAGTAAGAAAAGAGTGACTGAAGAATCCGCTTGAATGCAATAATTCAATAATATCATTATATTTGAGGAGGATCGTAGTCAATGAGAACCTTTAATGAACCGATTAGGTAACTATATAAGTAACTTGAAATATAAGAGTGTGCGTGTGGGTGTGACTTTTCATTTTGTCGACAACCACACCCCACACCCCACACCCCACACCTACACCCATACCCATAGCCGCAGCCACATCGAAACCCATCCACACCCCATACCCACACTGATGATAGCTGTTGCAAGTAGGAGAGTGTGTGTCAGTTGCATATCCAGTAGTATGCACTTGCTTGATTACTCGAAGAAATCGAAATCAGAATGTGACAAGAAACACACAGAGGACGCTGATTTTTATCTCTCTTTTTATTGTAGTGAGCAATCACGCGTGATGATGTGAATGAGAGGAGAAAGAGAGAGAGGCTCCTGTGGGTTTCTCCCACTTCTCTTCCATTCTTCATGAAACCAGCTAAACCAATTTATAATAAAACAGTCCCGAAATAGTAAAAACATCGGCAAGTGATGACGTCTTCTTCTCCCAGATTGACACCAAAGTCAACATTGAACAAACGTGGTACTAGACCAGAATAGAGAAATATTAACCGACTAATATTAATAGCCACAAAACAAACTGAACAGGGATTCTTTTCGTAGAATACTTTGCATGAACACTCCAACATTGATGATACAGCTTACAGTACCGATGGCTTATAACAGAAGATCGCCAAATCGAAATAAATTTGTTCAGATAGATTCCAATAATCCTAACGATGACATTTTTGTTTGTAGTTTTTGGCAGTCAAATTTTAGTTTGTAAGCGAGAAAGTATCGTAGTATCAAAATACCGAATTTAGCGTCTGAAGTAAGTTTCTTGTCAACAGTGAGAAACCATTTGTATTTATGTTTGGAAGGAGATAATGATGAGAAAATACCGAAGGAGTTTTTTGTACTTGATGAAATGAAGAAAAAGAAAGATATAAATATAGAAAAAACTTTGCTAGCATGTTTACTGACCTACTAGAAAGTGAAGAAGGCTGTAAAAATAGATATATACACAAAACATCAGTAGGACTGATACTAGTCGATAGAAATAGATGATAAATAGTTGAAAAGAAACCTAATGAATGGTAAACTATCTGATGAATATCATAAATAGAATCTGAAAAGTAAAGATTATACTTGTCTGTCATATTCAATTAGTGAGTACCACTTTTTCACCCGGAAGAATTGAGGGTGGGTGTGGGTGTGGGTATCCGTATGGAAACGAATTAAGAGATCATACCCACACTCACACTCACACCCACACCCACACCCACATGCGCTGACTGTCCTTCATTCCTCTATTCTTTGCACTTACCTCAGTGAATTAAATCAATATTCATACTAGACTACAACACACTTTTGTATTGTCAGTAGTTTCAGAAGGATTTCATAATTCCACGCCACTGAGTATATTTTGACAGCAAAACATATGAAACATTTTTTGATAAAAAGACAGCTACATAAGGTCATTTTAAAAACTTTTCAATCGGTGAATTTCCGGTCTTTATCGACCCGGTGGAGTTTTTGTACCGGTCCGACCGGACAGGTTTCAGCTTTGTACTATGGTGCTAATTTTACTGAACTTTTGTTTCCTTTACAACCCGTCTTACATGAACATAGTTTATATTTTTTTCTATTTCGTCCATTTGCATTCACTCATGATAAATAGGCGATTTTTGATTCTATTGATGGTTGCCTTCCTCTTAAATTTCTTTTTCAATCAGCCCCATGCAAATGTACAAATAAGAATTTTGTTCGCTATATTCATTACATGTTGATGCATGGGATTTTTCTGTCTGTTACCGATTTCTCTCTCTTTTCTCTCCTGGTATAAATGTTCGTGTTTTCTTTTAAAATAAAAGTGGTTATTAAGCTTTTGAAAGAAAAAAAGAAGTCCTCGTTGACCAGTCAAGCAGGCTGTAACATCCTTATATATCTTTATAATCAATTAACATCAGTTACTGCATTAATAAGGTCCATTAACTTGTGAATTTTAAATAAATTGTACTATTAAAAAGTTAATTGATAATACTTTGGAAAACATCGCCAGAGGAATTTAGTTACAATATACAAATAGTTGATATCTATAAATTAGAAGTTATGTGCAATCTACTTCTCAAATTCTATCGTTTCAGTTTGATTTGCATTGATGAGATATCGAAGTGTGATCCTCTAAAATGGCATGGACACGGGTGGATGGATATATCAATAACAATGTCCATATATCTATAGCTACATCCACCTCACTCCGTATTGGCATGATTTGATATTGTTAGTTGTTAACACAAAATGACGAAATATTTCGCCAAACAACTCTGCTATTGCATAAGAATTTTTGTCTTCTTAATGTGCGTCGTTAGTTTGCCTTCTTCTTATACATACGTTTCTTACATAATGGGATTTGTGTTGTTACTCATGAAATCAGAAATAGATGCTCACATAGAGAGACTGTACTTTTAATTCAAAAGAAAATCTGCTAAAAATTGAGATCGTTTTCGTCTACTCTCACGAAATTTTTCTATTCAATTTATTGTTTTATTAATGACATAACACTACGATTACAATGTAACCATTAATTTGTTAAACTTCAAGATAAAAAAATTCTCTTCGTTATCATAAACCAGTGTGGGTGTGAGTGTGAGTAAGGATCTTCGCTCAACTCATCAACACCCTTGAAATTCCATTTAGTAAGTTTTATTAATTTAATCTTCTTGATTGGTAATTGATTACATTTCATAGAAAAAAGTTGAATTAAAAGCATTTACAAGATTTGAAAAGAAGTCACAAGTCTATAGATATTAAAAATATAAAAATTTGCCTAAAATCCCAGATATATTAGGCGTTGTACTACAATAATAATATCTGAACAATCGATTGTAGAGGTACCAAACAAATATGCTTTTCATTTTTTCATATATTTTGGCTTAGTTATTTTTATTAAACATAGAATGAAAAAGATTCATAAATGACCGTATTTTCATTTGACTATGGTCTTTTTAATATTTTCGTTTTTTTTCTAAATTCTACTACGAAAAAAAGAATTGGTATATGGAAAAAAATTCGAATAGATTTACTTCTGAATCTCAAATTAGTTCAAATGTTTTCAGTGGTGTTAATTGTTTTTCAGGTTCATTTGACGTTTCAAGATGAGCATTACTTGAATGTGATCGTGCATATTCATTAACAGATAAATATAATTTAGTGATGCTATAAATACTAGATGAATGTCTACGTTAACTTGAGATCGATAATGTTGAAATAGAATGCCATTTTAGTGACGTATTTTCAAATTTAATCAAATTTCTTTTCATTCTTGCTTCAAATTTTCGTTTACGTAATGAAAAACTAATTTGTGAAAAAGTAAGAATTAAAAAAACCAATAAATAAAGTGTAAGAATTAGATAATGTGAGCGATATGCATAAATATTAACACAAGCCGATATTGGTTTTAAAGGATTTTCTTTCTTAAATATATAATATAATGAATGATATTGTTTTGAATATTCTGAACATATGATAGCACATATTCTATAATTACCAATAGATAAATATTTTAATTCAAGTGAATTTCTCCAAAATGTTAAATTTTGTTCAGGCATTGAATAAAAATCATCATCATGATGAATTGTAAATTTATACATTTGACATGATCGCTGATTAATATTTAGTGCTATTTCAAATTGAACATTAGCCGTTTGAGAATCATGCATACGAACACGAAGATAAAATGGATTTTCAACTATAGTTTCTTTAATAGTACCAAGTATTTGAATAGGAATTGATAATACACAGATGACACAGAGCAGATTCATAATTATGTTATTTTCTTATTTCTCTGCATCAATATTTAAACAAGTACCCAACACATATCATATGACATGCAATAGTGTTATTCGACGACAAATCTTTCTGTTTGAGATTAAACTAATCTTTATTCATGTATTTAATTATAAACAAAATAAGTGCAACAGATAGGTCAGAGAAGTTTTATTTTTCAATTTTTCTTTTCGTTTTGTGTTCTTCTATTGCTGAACGAAAGTGTTGAACTTTCATGGTTAATTCAATTTTTTTTTCTTTTACTTGCATAGGCTTTTTTTTGATAAGTAACCGATTGATGAATTAATTCTAATTCATGTGTTGACAATGTAAAACAATGAACTGGATCAGTTATAATACTTGAATCAATACTAACATTTATTTTTTATGCACCAGTATTACATTTATCAAGCGAAGACGCATTAGAACGATCATATGAAGCTGTGAATAGAATGTTGATGAAGTACATTAAAAATGTATAAGTAATACGAGTCGTACGATAAGCTACCCATGATATGTTGACAGATGTGACAACGACAAACAAAATTTATAGACGGACTGGATGAATACGAAAGCTTATCGAATCATTCGAAAATCATCTTTCAGTATCGGAAATTCATGTAATTCTTTACGTTTCTAAAAAGAACAAAATTTTTTGTTTCACATATATGGGTGAGTGGACAACTTGTCATGGATGTAATGCATAGCTTAGAGTGTCGGTGAGGGTACATCAATAATCTGTACATGGACCGACAATCATATTTACATACTCACGACGAATATTCTTAGCATCACCAATATAAAATTGTAAATGATCTTAATTTTTAAGGTTAGAAATACGAACCTATGTCAGTAGGTAAATTCCATATATAAATAACGAAAAGGTTGAAAGAACAATATTTGTACTTTCTTTAGCTAATTCTTTGTTAAAATGAATATAAACTTCAGTTTCGAGAGTTACTTGAATTATTATTAGCAAACTAAATTCTCATTAGATAAATGAAATCAGAAATAGAGCTACGATGTTCAAATACTGCGTATTACACTAGCATGAAGGAAAAATTTCTAAGACAATATCTGAATCAATCTTGTTTGTTGACATCGTTCTTATAACTATAGATCGACAAATCGCTCAATTGATTTCAATCTTCTATATTCACCTAGTCACTAATTGACTTGGACGTTGAAAAGAAAGAAATATATATAACAACACAACTGATGGTCCCCATATTAAATATAAATATTTGAAAATGACCTTTTTTTTAGTAAACATGAGTAGAATAATTAGAACCAAGTCGAAGCATAGAAAAATAAAACGAATTTGAAGTAGATTAAGTAATAATTCATCAGTTAATTCTTTTGAATTACTTAATCATTTTGTCTGAGTTTCCTTTCACAGAGAAAGAAGTTTACTCTTAAATAAAATCATCAAAAAGTATTTACTTGAATAAGATCACTTAATTTTTGTATATCAGTTTGTTTAATAAAATTTTTTTCTTCGATTGTTTTATTTCCATAGAATAACTAAAAAGACGATATGCTAGTTATGTTTAATTTACCTCCGTAAGACCAGAAAAAGTAATAATTCATCGACGAAGATATGAATTTGAAAGTAATATTTGAACAGTCAATCAATCTACAAGACCTGGATCTGTATCAACTTCCATTTCTTGTTGTTTACATTCGATATTGATCATATTCGTTCGACAAATTAATAATCGTCATGCAATATTCATATTTAACTCTTAGTAAACGAAAAATGATTTCTTTAAACATTTTTACTATTTACCAACTTATAATCCTGTTGTGCAAAACTGTTTCTTTTATTTTGCCGAAAAAAACTAATATATCAAAAGCGTATTTCATGTTTTTAAATTAGAAAATGGGCTCCGAAATATTTTCATTAAGCATTTCCCCATATGTCTAATCACGATTTCATTCTCTGCGTAGAGATCAATCGATAGTTGACTTTCATAATGTAATTTCATTATAACTGCTTACAAGTATACTTGACATGATTATCGACCAAAATATGTTTACTACATCTCTATCATTGCTGATTTACTTCGCCATGCAAACTTTTTGAAAACAATTATTATTATTTTTTCTTTTATTTAGATCATAATTATCTGTTTTAGTTAGTAATGTCATAATATAATATAGTCCCTTCGTGGTTAAGTCAACCTGAACTACTTCATCTTACTACTTTATACATTTTGAAAAAATGACAAGAAATAATTATAATTGTTTTAAATTACCATGTATTGGACAATCAGATTTTTGCTAACAAGAAACTTTCTTTAGTTGCCTCCTTCCGATTTCAATGATTTTTTGCCTACAGATATTACATAGTATTCTGATCAAAACCGTAATAGGATTTGGTTTTCTATTAATATTTGACTGAACTATGGAATTTTTAATGTCTCTTTGCTGGGCCACAGATTTTCGAAAAACTCGTCTTTTCGATTTATGACCTGAAATTTTGTGCAAATAGAAAACTCAACTAGACTAACTTCCACAAAAGAATTCATAAGTTGTGAACAAAATCTTTTCGAGATATGGAACTTTCAGGATATAGATCTTTTTCCACAGTTAATGTATACAAACACATATTTTTTGAAAGCTTCATATCTTGAAGAGACCTTGTTCAAAACTTCTGAATTTTTTAAAGGAAGTTAGTCTAGTTGAGTTCTGAATGTGCACAAAGTTCCAGATCAAAAATCGGAAATACAAGTTTTCCGAAAAATCTGAATTCCCGAAAAAATATTAAAAATTCGATAGCTTAGTCAAATATCAATGGAAAACCAATTCCTTTTAGAGATTTTATTGGAACACTATGTAGTATCCATAGGCAAAAGATCATTGGAATCAGAGAAAAGCAACTGAAGAGGCTCTCTCATTAGTCTGATAGATATTTTAATTTATTATGATAAAGATTTCACAATCGTATATGAGACATTTTGTAGATCTCCTTGAAATGATTCTACAAATTTAGATATGAAGAATAAATCAGATTGACAGATACGAATTTTTCTTTATTGTAAAAAAATTAAAACAAAATTAGCAAAGACTATCTAGTTGAATCATCACAATAGGAAAAAGTTTACATGGCTGTATCATTTAATAGTTTATTACTATTTATTTTTATTGTTTCATAGAAAATTCAGGATTAAAATATGAATCGACGCTATTATGTTTTATCTTTAGTTTTTCGCGTTTGATAAGTTTAATGGTAATAAATAAAAAGATGCTAGTGAGCAATACAGATAACCCACCGCAAGAAAGGAGAACAATAGCTACGAGAATACTGGGCTTCTCCCATTGAGCGATTGATGGACTTCTAGTATCATACCAACATGAATATGATGAGCCGATCTAAAAACCAAAAAACATGTTTTAATGCTATGAAAATGTATGTCATTTATTCATATAACATTGACAAGATCAGTGTTAGTAAAAAAAAAACGCTCAAGTTTGTTTTTTGAATAATTACAGATCTTTTCAGAATAGAAAATACAACGTTCAGGTTCATTTTAAATATTATCGTTGATAGTAGTAAAAAGAAAAGAAATCATGCGGAAGTGTCGTATACTGGTTTTTTATCATTTTAAAAAAGGGTTACAGTAATTTTTTTTCTGTATATCTCATTCTGTTAAATAGTCAAAGTTTTGTGAAAAGACTACCATACGTATGTTCATCATTTTTAGTCCAATTATTTTGTCATACTGTGAACACGTCTATTAATATTATTGGATCACATATATCAAATAAAATGCAAAATCGAAAAGAAAAAAAGACAAGTACTATTTCTCAATTGAGAAAGCATTAACTTCAAAGTTCCTTTTTTGCGTGTACTTACATCTATACACAATATGCCTTCAAAATAGTAAGAACACTCTATATAGTAAAAAATTCCATTTATTTTTGTAACATATATTTAGCGAGTTTAAATCGAACGTATTCTGAAAATTTCTCTATTGTTAAAGAGTTTTTCATAGGGTACTGACTGCAAGGATAATCTTATTGACTGACACTAATACATGTGTGTTCCTACGAGAGAACCTTTCCAAATGATCTGTATTTATTTCAATGTTTTTCTTATATCCAGATATTATACATAACTTTTTAGTAAAAACCCTACAAAACTTAAATTTATATTGCGTTTTTCGAATTTTTATCCTGAAACTGTTTCGACTTAAAGGTTTCGCATGCACTAACGTGAACGAAAGAGTTTCAGAATTTTTGGATTTAGTATTTTCAAGCTATGAACTTTATAAAAATAGACGTGTTTCCCTCTTGTACTCTGCAATATGAAAATGTTTTGAAAAGTTTGTATTTCAGGAATACTTCGTCTGAAAATTCTAAAACTCTTGATACAAGCAATTATATGTTAGAACTTTAATGGAAAACAAAATGTCGGGACAATATTTGAAAATACGATTTTTTCGAACACGGAGATATTGCAGAGATCTCTAGAAAATAGAGATACTTAAAATTCGATGATTTTGATAAATCTCAAGAAGAACCTAAATCTTTTTAAAGCTGTTTACTAAAATACTATGTAGTATCTGTAGAAACTTTTTCGTTACTTATTTTTTTGAAGAGATCTTATTTCAAATATTTCCTTACTTTATATTCTTGCGCTCTTTCGAGTGCATCCGAAGAAGATCTATATCGCTTTTCTTCTTCTACTATTGCGAATATGGTTCTATTCTCTCCATGATGCACTTCCCATATCGCACCATAACAAGTATTTCGATTGTTACGTGTTTTACATTTATACGTTTTCCATGATCTTGAATCAACTTGACACATGCTATTAGCATAGTTCGACACTTTGGGATGTTCTTTTGCGAAAAATATACCGCCCCATATAAACAGGAAAACTAAAGAGTTGAAACACAACACAGAAAGAATGAGACCGACAATTGCTTTGGGATCTTTTATTTTATGTTTGGCCATGGAGAATAACCTACGAAGCTGCCTAAAGAAAAAA